TGTAGACCAGGCTGGCCTTGAACTTAGAGAGATCTGCCTGCCTCTGCCTCCCTAGTGTTGGGATTAAAGGTGTGGGCCTCTGCCACCCAATGATAATCTTTTTTTTTTTAACTTATTTTATCTTATGTGTAGGAGAGTTTTGTCTACATATATGTGTATGCACCATGTGTGTACCCAAAACAGTCAGAAGATGGCATCAGATCCCCTGGAACAGTAGTTACAGAGGCTTCCAAGGCACCACGTGGGTGCTGGGAACTGAACCCGGTCCTCTTAACAGGGCCGGGTGGGGGGGCGCAGGAGAAGGACAGTGTGAGTCTGGAATGTTGACTGCATATTTCCATGGATCCTAGAGTCAATTAGGATGATCCAGAATAGAGAGGAAGAATGCAAGCTGGTACTCACAGTTTAGAATAAATTAACCAAAGAGCCAGGTTCATCTGCCTGTGGTCACAGGGACTCAGGAGGCTGAGGCTGGAGGACAACTTGAGCTCTGAGGTTTGAGGATAGCCTGGACAATACAGTGAGCAAGGTTAGAAGAACAGTGTGAGTGCTGAGGCTAGCCCTGATGTAAGATGCCGCGGAGGTGTGTTGGGGGAGGGGTGTCTCTGAGACATATGAATGTAATGGTTACCATGAACTGGGCTCTGGAGCCCTTGAATGGAAAGCTGGGAGGCCATTCTCGTAGTAGAAGTGATTGGCATTTTGCAGCAGAGGGAGACAAAATGGCAGTACTGGCTTAGGGGTAAATCCAGTCAGTGCCCTGGCTAGACCTGATGAAGGATTGCTCAAAGTTTCGCAGTGAGGTTGAAAAACAGGGAGCCTGGGGCTGGAGAATCAGATTGAGGGGCTGCTTTCTACTCCTAAAGTGAAAACCAAGACAATTAATTGCCGGACAGCTCACCCCAAAAAGCAAGAGATGAGAACTTTGTGAAAACAAGCAGATGTGTTGCTCTTCTGCCTGTCATGAACTGTACAAGATATACATGCAAAGTGCATGAGACACGGAAGACTCAGGAAGCTGGGAATAATACTGTTACAGTGTGCCCAGACGAGGCAATTCCACCTCTGTCGTGATTGCTGAAGAGCATGTGATACAGGCTAGGACTAGTCTATTGTTTGATTTGGTGATGTAGACAGAACCCAGGACCTTGCACATGCCAAGCTACATTTTCAATGTGACTTTTCTATTGTTGTTATTAACAGTTTTTTGAGAAAGGGTCTTACTGTGTACCTCTGGCTGTCCTGGAACTACCTCACTTTGTAGGCTGGCCCTGAACTCACAGAGACACACCTGCCTCTGCCTCCTGAGTGCTGGGATTTAAGGTCTGTGCCACTACACACAGCTTATTGTTATTTTGGGGTGCTGGGGACTGGAGCACCCTGCATGCTATGCTAGTGACTGACCTTGAGCTATATTCATATTCTACCCAATGGGCCCCTTAGGGTCTTATTGGTAAAACTTCCTTAAAACGCAATCCCCAGCTTCTGCTGGAAACCTTCAGTTCAATCTGTATAACAGGGACTCAATATTACCAGAGAATTCACAGCCCCAAGAGAGTGGGCGTTCTTGGTGTCAGTCATCATAGAAGGTGGGTTCTCAGCTGGGCGGTGGTGGTGCACACCTTTAATCCCAGCACTTGCGAGGCAGAGCCAGGTGGATCTCTGTGAGTTCGAGGCCAGCCTGGTCTACAGAGTGAGATCCAGGAAAGGCGCAAAGCTGCACAGAGAAACCTTGTCTCGAAAAAACCAAAAAAACAAAAAAAAAAGGTGGGCTCTCAAACAGGCAGTCTATTCCGGCTTCAGCAGGCACTCATGCTGGAAAATACTCACACCCATAAAATAAAAATAAATAAGTCTTAAAAATAAGTAAACCCAAAACGAGAGAGAGAGAGAGAGAGAGAGAGAGAGAGAGAGAGAGAGAGAGAGAGAGAGAGAACCCAGTACCACTAAAGTGGAAGCTTTGCACTGATTAGCTCCAGCTGAGAAATCAACTGTGATTAAGAAGAGACCAGTGGACTGGAGAGATGGCTCAGCAGTTAAGGGCACTGGTTGCTCTTCCAAAAGTCCTAAGTTCAATTCCCAGCAACCACACGGTGGCTCACAACCATGAGATTTGGTGCCCTCATCTGGCCTGCAGGTATACATGCAGGCAGAACACTGTATACTAAATAAATATATCCAGAGAGAGGGGGGGCGGGGCGCAGCATCACTGAGGCAAAATCTTCTGGGAGTATTTTGTCAGGGTCAGCACGCAGAATCTGTGGTCCAGTGGGGCCAAGGTTACATTTCATGCCGACAGCCAAACTTGGTAATGTGTAAAAGTCACCTAGGTAGTACTGGTTTTGAAGTCATGGAGGGGTCATGGAGAGCAGCTGAGGTTTGGCACTATGTGGCAGGGCTGGAGTCCCTAAAGAAGGCTGGAAGAGGCCATTGGTGATGGTATGGCCTCAGGGACAGTGGAGACCCCAGCATATTGGAAATACCATACCGTGGCATGACCACCAAGTGGAGCTGGCCTGAGTGTAGGACACGGCTGTGCATGCTGCTAATGGCAGAGCTCAAAAGACAGTGAGTGCCAGATGTCAGCCAGAGTTCCACTTCTGGACTTGGACTTCGCTTTGATTTGATTATGACTGCCCTGTTTCTTTTCTCTTGGAGTAAGAAAGTATGTAACATTTTTTATTTTATAGGAGATCTCACACTTAAGAAAATTAGGGCTTTTAAAGAAACAAAGAGACTTTGGACCTTTTTTTTTTTTTTTTGAGACAAATTTTCACTGTGTGGCCTTGGCTCACTGTGTGGACCAAGATGGCTTCAAACACATAGAGATCTACTTGTCTCTACCTTCTGAGTGCTGGGATTAAAGGCATGCGCCACCACCACACCTAGACTTTGGACTTTTTTTTTTTTTAATCTTTTTTTTTTTTTTTTTTTTTTTTTTTTTTTTTTGGTTTTTTGAGACAGGGTTTCTCTGTGTAGCTTTGCGCCTTTCCTGGATCTCGCTTTGTAGACCAGGCTGGCCTCGAACTCACAGAGATCCGCCTAGCTCTGCCTCCCGAGTGCTGGGATTAAAGGCATGCGCCACCACCGCCCAGCTGACTTTGGACTTCTTAATGTCAAATCTTTTAAAGACTGTGGGGCTTTTAAAGTTATATCAGTTTTATATTATTTTGTGATGTTAATATTAATATAAGATCTTGGGGATGAACAGGAAAGGAAAGGCTATGTTTTAATAGTGATGTGTTTGTGTGTCAAGTTGTCAAGGGGTCAATTGTGCTGGTTGGTTTTTGCCAACTTGACCCCAACCTAGACATACCTGGAGAAGGAAGAGACTCGGCTGAGCTTTATCAGCTGACCTACAGGCTGAGCTTTATCAGCTGACCTATAGGCTGAGCTTTATCAGCTGACCTACAGGCTGAGCTTTATCAGCTGACCTACAGGCTGAGCTTTATCAGCTGACCTATAGACTGAGCTTTATCAGCTGACCTATAAGCATGTTCGTGGGAGCATTTTCTTGATTAATAATTGATATGGGAGGGCCCAGCTCACTCTGTGTGCTACCCATAGACAAGTGATTCTGAGCTGTATAAGAAAGCAGACTGAGGGGTTGGGGATTTAGCTCAGTGGTAGAGTGCTTGCCTAGCAAGCATAAGGCCCTGGGTTCGATCCTCAGCTCTAAAAAAAAAGAAAGGAAGAAAAGAAAGAAAGAGAAAGGAAGAAAAGAAAGAAAGAAAGAAAAGAAAGAAAGAAAGAAAGGAAGGATGGAAGGAAAGGAAGGAAGGAAGGAAGGAAGAAAGAAAGAAAGAAAGAAAGAAAGAAAGAAAGAAAGAAAGAAAGAAAGAAAGAAAGAAAGAAAGAAAGAAAGAAAGCAGACTGAGCAGCCATGGGGAGCAAGCCAGTAAGTATCACTACCCCAAGGCTTCTGCTTCAGCTCCTGCCTCTAGGTTCCTGCTTTGTTTTCTCTCGGTGAACTGTGACCTGGGATAGGGAAGTCAAATAGACCCTTTCTCCTCCAAGTTGCTTTTGGTCATGGCCTTCATCACAGCAATAGAAACCAAAGCAAAGCAAGGAACAGGCATGCTCATAGAAAGGAGATTAGAGGTGTCTGGGTCTGGAGGGGAAAATTGGAGAGTGACTGCTTAATGGCTCGATACAACGTGACGTAAGTTCTGGAAGTGGCTCGAGCTGATTATTGTGCAAACCTGTGCACAAGCTTTATACTGCTGAAATGGAAATTTTTTTGCTGTTGATTTTGAGTGAGACATAGTCTTATATAGCCCAGGATAGCTTCAAACTCCTGTGAAACTGAGGCTGGCCTCACTCTCCATCTGTCTCCTGAGTGCTGGGATTACAGGTGTGTACTGCTATGCCTTGGCCAAAATGTACATTTAAAAATGATTAAAGAGCCGGAGAGTTCATGGCCACAAGTCTGCTAGTTGCACTTGAATGTTCTAGCAGGGTTGCTTATTGCCCTTCCTACGTTCTGGACTCCTTGCTGAGACTGTTTAACTTGAAGATTTAAAGAAACTATTGCAAATGCCAGTGCATCAGAACCTAAGAGTGGTCAAATATTATGTGCAATTTTTTTATAAAGAAATTTTAATTTATAATAAAGTTTAACAGTTTAAAGAAGAAAAAAAAAGAGTCGGCGAGATGGTTCAGTGAGTTAAGGACTTGCCACACAAGCCTAGTAATCTGAGTTTGACCCCCAGAACCCACAGAGTGGAAGGAATGACCACACACACACACACACACACACACACACACACACTCACACGACGAAATAACAAACAGGTCAAATGTAATAGTTTTCATAAATATTAAATTACTACTCTGAAATTTTGTGGTTTTATGTTTTATCTACTAGTTAAAGTATTTTATATAATTTTAATTAGTATTTTATTATTTTGTATGCATGAGTGTTTTACCTGCATGTATGTATTTATACCATGTGTCTGGTGCATGCAGAGGCTAGAAGAGGGCATTGGATCCTGGAACCAGAGTTACAGAAAGTTGTGAGTTGCTATGTGGGTGCTAGGAATCAAACCTGGGTCTTTTAGAAGAGCAGCCAGTGCATTTAGTTGCTGAGCCATCTCTCGAGCCCTTAGTTCAAGTATTTTAAATGATGCATTTTATGCTTTATATACATAACGTAATAAAATGTTTTTTTCCCAGAAAAGATTAAGTAGCCCACTTAAGATTATGTAACTAGAAAGTGGCCAAGCTAGATTTGAACAGAAACCTGCAATGTCTGTCTCTTGAGCTGATGCTGTGCATACCTGATCAGCCACCCAAACTTAGGACATCTGGGTTCTTGCCATCACTGTCTTGTATGACCTTATACAGACTGACCTTTGAAGATCTCATTCTCCTCAACTATTAAATAATAAGACTTAAGTCTCTTTGACGGGTTTGGCTTGCTGCAGCCTGATAACATTAATTACTATCTATGCAGCACTTCTGACATGACATCACGCAGACTCTGAAACCTTGATCTCCTTCCGATACCATTTGCCTCTGGGATGCCCCATCACGCAGGAGGCCCCCCAGGGAAAGGTCCGGCTAACTGCTCCTTAACCTGCTCCTTCCTCCAGGGGTTCGTCCTGAAGTTAAGCCAGCCTTGAGGAGGCCGCATTCCCTCTCGTCTCCCTTTTCTGAGTGAGGACTCAGGCTTGAATCCATTCCAGGATAAACTTCTCCTGGCCAAGAGATAACACAACTTCAAGGTGACAACCAGGGAGGCCTTTTAAAAGTCCTCCTTCCCCCGTCAGAGTTGCTGCGCTCCTCCACAGCTGGCCGTCTGCCGACACCCGCTACCATGTGGGAACTCGTGTGTCTCTTGCTGCTCATCCTAGCCTATTTCTTTTGGCCCAAGCCAAAGACATTTGATGCCAAGTTTCCCAGGAGCCTCCCATTCCTGCCCCTTGTGGGCAGCCTGCCGTTTCTCCCCCAGACATGGCCATATGCATGTCCACTTCTTCAAGCTGCAGGAAAAATATGGTCCCATCCTATTCTCTTCGTCTGGGTACCACACCGACCGTGATCATCGGCCAATATCAGCTGGCCAGGGAAGTGCTCATTAAGAAAGGAAAAGAATTCTCCGGTCGGCCCCAGATGGTAAGCAATGCCAACCCTCCTCCTCCTTGACCCCTGGGATTGTACAGTTCGTAATTTTTTCCAAAACCAGACTAACGGGGCCATTCCCTCAGACCCTACCCAACCTCTAAACTGGGAAGGAGGAATTAAAGGGACACCTCTTGAATGGCCTGTCCAGCAAGGTGGTGCAGGAACCTGCAGAGTTAGGGGAGCCCTTACTCCACTCACCTTCCCCTCTATTATATGACAGTCGTGCTGGAACACACTGCCAAAGCCATAGCCCAGACCCAGCGCTAAAGTTCTCCTTAAGTGAGACTGTTACGTTTGCTGGGAGATAGGGGCAGTGATTGCATCCTCCACAGGAAGATGCTGGGAGAAGCAGCTGGCCTCTTGGGGGCTAAAGATTGCAGTTTCCCTGATCACGTGGTGGCTTTGGCTCACAGATACCTGGGGGTGGGGGGTTGCAGGGGGACAGGGGACAGCGGACAGGAACATACAGTAATATCTCAAGGCCTCTGACCTCACTGTGCTGACTGTTGAGTAGCTAACCTACAAACACCACCCATGCTCCCATGACCCTACTGCAAGGGTTTCCCCTGAGCACCCCAATAAAGCACAACTGGCCTCAGCTTTGAGCAGGCCAAAATTGGTTCATTTCCCTTGGCAAGTCAGCCAGAGTGGCCTGCCCCACTGCCGGGCTCCCCCAGATTTGGTTTCCTCTCAGAAGCAAGAGAACAAAAGAGGCTGGCCGCCGGATGGGGGTTTGGAGGGTCAGGGATGCAAGTGGGAGACTTCCAGCCCTCGTGCTTTCGGAGGAGATAGTTCAACCTGAAGTCCAACCCAGGAGGATAAAACATGTGCTGTCTTCAGATGCGGGTTTGAGTGCACAGGCCAGCAATGAAAAGAGAAAGAAACGGCATGGATTCTGTGACTTTAGCAGCCTGGCAGTGGTGGGAAGATAGGCAAGTGTCTCGGTCTCCCTGTCCCTAGGACAAGCACACCTAGCTTACCCCACCCATAGCTGCCTCTCCTGGTCAGAAACCGAAGCAGAGAGGCCCAGAAGGCACCTTACTAATAAACGGAACCCAGAGCTTCTTGCATTCAAATCAGCGTTCCTTCTGTCTCCTCACTATGCTGCCTTTCGGGACTGTAAGGAGGACTTTAGGGCCTTCCTGGTAAGAGGCGAGTGGGGCTGTTACAGCATGCAGGTAGGTCGAGGGAGAAGCCTGAGAGTTCCAGGGCTTGCATAATAATTCCTACAGCCTTGCCTGCTCTCCCAAGGTGACTCTAGGCCTCTTGTCGGACCAAGGGAAAGGTATCGCCTTTGCTGACTCTGATGGCTCCTGGCGGCTGCACCGAAAGTTGGCGCTCGGCTCCTTTGCCCTGTTCAGGGATGGTGACCAGAAGCTGGAGAAGATCAGTGAGTGAGAGGCTAGCCCTGGGGCTGGGGAGCAAACAGAAGGCTGGGGAGCTGGGGAAGGATGCTGGATGGCTGGGGCCCGGCCATTCCTTAGCGCTGCTGCCATCCAGTGGCCGTCTGCTCTCTATGCCCTCCCTGGATAAGTAGACCCAGGTGGAGAGGTGGTGTCAGCTGATGAATTCCTCCATTTAGCATTCCCTCTCTCCTCAGTATGTCAGGAAGCCAGCTCACTGTGTGACTTGCTGCTCACCCACAATGAGGAGTCCATAGATCTGTCCCAGCCTATCTTCATGTCAGTAACCAACATCATCTGTGCCGTCTGCTTCAGCACCTCTTATGAGAACAGGGATCCGATATTGACCACCATACAGACCTTTACAGAAGGCATCCTGAATTGCCTAGACAATGAAAATCTGGTGGACATGTTACCCTGGTTGACGGTGAGACTGCAGTCACCCCTCTCCACTTCCAATCCCACTAGGACAGTGTCCTTAATACTTCCAGTTTCCATGGCCATCTTTCTCATCCGACTCATCCAATAGTCATCTCTATCTCCTCTGCCTCTTACAACAGCACACACTTCACTGGCAAATTACCCTCAAGGCAGGCTCTCATGTAGCTCAGGCTAGCCTCAAATTGCTTCTGTAACTGAGAATGACCTTGAAATTTTGATCCTCCTGCCTCCGAGTCTCAAGCGCTAGGACTATAAGCTGTACTATGATGCCTTGCTGGGTCTCTTTATAAATCCTGTATCTTAATATTCATGGCTCTTACTATTTTCCAATTACCATGTGCCAGCAGTAAGAAGCCTGTGTTAGTCACTGGGTCCTCCTGGACATGTCAAATTATCCTCTCGGTACAGACAAGAAAAACAGGCTGAAGCTAGTTGAGGGGCTTGCCTCCTCAATCACGTCTGTCCTATGGGCAGGCACACAGCTGGCAGGGCTTAGTTTTGAACAGAGAAGGGGACAAGGAGTCCACCCTGTCCTCCACTGTCTCAAGTTGTCCTTCTTGGCCACGGTAATCTTATTCTTTTGTCATCTAGCCTTCCTGACTGAAGGTCCAGGTCTGCCTCCAGGAAGAATTCTAGCTGGATAGATGGATTTGACATTTCCTTCTGTTTCCAGATTTTCCCCAATAAAACCTTGGAAAAGATAAAGAGACACATTAAAGTTCGAGAGGAAGTACTGATTGACATGTTGGAAAAATGCAAGGTGAGTGACAGAGGCGAACTGAGGTTGGAGGCGTCACGAGAGCAAGCCTGGGTACATTTTGGACACTGTAAATCTCCAGCCAGGCGGTGGTGGCACACGCCTTTAATCCCAGCACTCAGGAGGCAGAGGCAGGCGGGTCTCTGTGAGTTCAAGGCCAGCCCGGGCTACAGAGTGAGTTCCAGGATAGGCTCCAAAGCTACACAGAGAAACCCTGTCTCGAAAAACCAAAAAAAGAAAAAAGAAAAAAGATCTCCAGAGCTTGGCAGGGGGCTGACACATAGTAGGCTACCTCTAGAAACTGACTTATTAATGAATGGGAGTGGGAAAGTGAGAAATTGAAAAAGTTCCTAGAAGGGACACAGAGGAGGACCCAGGGCTATCACTACCTCTACAAACCCACAGGTCCTGCTCAGCCCCTCTCCACCCTCAAGGAACCTTGCTGTCTCTAGGCTAAGATGGAGTATGGCAGGGGTACTGGGGGTCGAGCTCCCTCCTCATCCTCATCTCTCACTGTCTCTCATTCCAGGAGAAATTCAACAATGACTCCATCTCCAACTTGACGGACATTCTGATACAAGCCAAGATGAATGCAGATAATAACAACACCACTGATGACCAGGGGTTATTTTCAGACAGACACATCCTTTCCACGGTGGGAGACTTCTTTGGGGCTGGTATAGAGACCACCACCTCTGTGTTGTGTTGGATTGTGGCTTTCCTGCTACACAATCCTGAGGTGAGTGTCTCCTCACTCTTCCTATAGAATCCAGTGAAGCTCCATTTTGGGGGGTGGGGCACAACCCCTGGAGCCTTCTGTGCAGATAACCCTGCTCCACCTCTCACACAAGCAGTGGCTGACTCTGACCCTGGGTTAATGTTGTCCCCATCTTCTAGAAACAAAGCATAGGCTACGGAGTCATTACTGGGTAGAATCTGTCAGGGTTGTTCTGGGTGTGACCACTGGGTTCTGCTAAGCCTACAACGCTCTTAGACTTGAACAACTTGATCACATGACCTTGTTTTGGTCCTCAGGTGAAGCAGAAGATCCAAAAGGAAATTGACCAGAATATAGGTTTCAGCCGTACACCAACTTTCAATGACCGAAATCACCTCCTCATGCTGGAGGCCACTATCCGAGAAGTGCTTCGTATCAGGCCAGTGGCCCCCATGCTCATCCCCCACAAGGCTAACATTGACTCAAGGTATGCCTTGCTGGGGATGTCTTTCTGTATGCTGTGAATGTGTTGCTCTGATTGATAAATAAAACACTGGTTGGCCAGGCAGGAAGTATAGTATAGGCGGGATAAGCAGAGAGGAGAATGCTGGGAAGTGGAAGGCTGAGTCAGGAGATGCTGACTCCAGCCGCCACCATGAGAAGCAAGATGTAAAGATACCGGTAAGCCACGAGCCACATGAAAAGGTATAGATTAATAGAAATGGGTTAATTTAAGATGTAAGATCTAGCTAACAAGAAGCCTGAGCCATTAGGCCACACAGTTCATAATTAATATAAGCCTCTGTGTGTTTACTTGGGTCTGAGCAGCTGCGGCCTGGGCAGGACTGGAGAAAACTCCAACTACAAAGCCTTTCTTCCCAAGACACTCAGCCTAGGATGCAACCACTACCTAGCCTATTTTGTCCCCCATCCATGTCTTACCTGCCCTTAGCTGCTGATCAACCTATAGTCAAACAGTGGCTGCTGTTAATCATCCCACCCTAGCCACCATAACCACTGCATCTGCCTCCCCTGATATCCACGAACTAAGCTGCAGATCCATCTGGTTTCCCTCCAAACTTCCCGCTGCCCTTGGAGACACAGGTCTGGGCTGAAGGACAGGGTGCTCAATGTTCCAATCTCATCAGACAGCTGTAGTACATATTCTCTCTCTCACACACACACACACATGCACCAGCTTCCAAGGCACGTCCATGTACTGACAAGCACAAATGTCCACACACATAAATAAGGTTGGTAGGCACATGCTTGACGCGTGGATAAGGCTAGATCCAGGTGCAATCCTGGCAGAAGCCAGAAGCTAAGGAAAGGGAGTGAGAATGAGGCCTAAAGGGGTCTTTCCCCCAGTAGAGACTTGGGGCTCAGCAGGAAGGGAAGACAATATGCCTTTTTCTTCACCTTGTCTGGGTCAGCATTGGCGAATTTACCATCCCCAAGGACACACACGTAGTCATCAATCTGTGGGCCCTGCATCACAATGAGAAGGAATGGGACCAGCCAGATCGGTTCATGCCTGGTGAGTGTATGTCTGTCCCATCCTGGATTTTGCTTCACTGGGCCAGCACGCCTTCCGGCCCATTAGAAAATTCCTGGCTGCATCCCCATTGGCCTGTTGCCATTTCCATTCTCCTGGAGACTGTCCCCAGCTCCTCAAAGCTGGACTTTGCAACTCACTCTTCAAATTACTTCTGTGAAAGCCTGCAGGCACCTGTCTCCTAGTAGGCCTGTCCCTCTTTTCTTCGGTGGTGGCATTTTCTCCTGGTGAGATGTCTTCCTCTCTCTCTCCATCCTTCCTGAATATTTGATTTCCTCGTGGCCTAAAAGTGAGTTGAGGTTCCCTGGGCAAAAGCTTGCCTGCTGGCTGATGCTTCCCTCTGTCTCCAGAGCGCTTCTTAGACCCCACGGGAAGCCATCTCATTACACCCTCGTTAAGCTACCTGCCCTTCGGAGCTGGGCCCCGCGCCTGCGTTGGAGAGGTTCTAGCCCGTCAGGAGCTCTTCCTCTACATGGCCTGCCTGCTACAGAGGTTTGACCTGGATGTGCCAGATGATGCGCCGATGCCCTGCTTGGAAGGGGACCCCAAGGTGGTCTTTCTGATTAAGCCCTTCAAAGTGAAGGTCACAGTGCGCCAGGCATGGAAGGATGCCCAGGCAGAGGTTGGCACCTGGAGGCCATGACTCATGTCTCCTGGTCCCACGCTGTGCAGCCCACAGCACAAAACTAAAGGTGCTGCTCCTACTGACTCCTACATGCCTCCTCCTCCTCCTCTTCCTACCCCCATTTTCTAGTTTGCAGAAACGGAAACGGAGGGTGATATACCTAAATTAAAGATTTGCCAATAAAAGTCTCTAAGCTGCCTATCATTTACTCATTTGCTTACTCATTCAGTCAACAAATGTACTTATTTATTTCTTTTGTGTGGCAGAGAGGGACGTTTTGTGTGTGTTGTGTGTGTGTGTGTGTGTGTGTGTGTGTGTGTAAGTATACTCACAGGAGTTGGTCCTTTCCTTCCACTACGTAGATTTCAAGGATAGAAATCAGGATATCAAGCTTTGCAGCAAGAACCTTTACCTGATGAACCATCTTGCACACCTCTCAAAACATTTTATTGAGTACACGATGTATGCCATTCACTGACTCGGGACACTCACTCAGCCTGTGTGGGAGGCACAGGGGAACCAGAAATGTTAAACACACAAGGTTGTCCCTTCAAAGGGAGGGATGCATATAATCTGTTATCTGCCCAGAAGGCTGGGGGCAGACATAGTTAATAGCCTGGTGCCCCTTACAATATCTGTATAGCCAAGACCACACACACCTAATTCTCCCCTAGACCATTATTGTGAGCTTGTCAGCCTATAGACCCAATCTTTATGGAAGGTGTCACATGCAGTCAATCTATAGACCCCATCTTTATGGGTGATGTCACATGTACTTTGCATAGATTTTCAATGTAGTCATGTCTCAAGCCTTATTGTGCACATGAGATTAGGTTAATCATTACCAGAAAAGTTTTCACCAAACTGTGCTGTGCTTAAATATGCCTAAAATAAACTACTTGGAGCTGGGTGGTGGTGGCACACACCTTTAGGCAGGAGAATCTCTGAGTTCGAGGCCAGCCTAGTCTACAGAACGAGTTCTTGGACAGCAGGGCTACACAGAAAAACCTGTCTGGAAAAAACAAACACAAACAAAAACAACAATAAAAACAAACAAACAATTCTACTTGGGGTCAGACTCCCGGGTGTGAGCCAACACCGGCTACTCAGTCGTGTTGAACCAAACCACTTTCTCGTCTTTCGGGGATTGTCACTCTCCAGAGACATCACACACACACACACACACACACACACACACACACACACACACACACACACACACACACAAGCCTGGTAACATTTTAGAGAAGACAGACAGAAAAATGAGAATGTCAGACTTCTAAATGCTCTGGAGTCAAGGATACTGGAGACGTGGTAAGAGAATGGTACAGCGGGGAGGGGCCACTTGAAACAAGGAGCCTGGGGATGAAGGTGAGGATGTGGGGAAAGGGACAGCTCTGGAGGAGAAGCAGATGAAAAGGTCTCAAGGTCACCATGACTAGGGGGTGGGTGGGGGGAAGCCTCTGGTGGGGCGGCACAGGAGACAGACCAGCTCCTGTGGGGCCTCTATAAGGAGCACAGGGTTTAACTTCTATCCCAAACACACAGGAAGTCCCTGGCAGATTATAAACATGTGAATGACACAATGTAACTAGTTTTGTTTCGAGACAGTGTAACACTGTAGAGAGCCGTGTACGGCGCTGGCATCCGGCTTCCGCCTTCCCGATGGCAGGTGCTCCTTATTTGGCTAAGGCTAGGATCTGGCTTGCTTCCGCACACCTGGACCTAATCTGGCTTGCTTGCGTATGTCTGACCCTATCGGCATTGTCCACGTGGCACCACGGGGTTGATTGCCCATTGGCTATAAAGGGCGTGGGCTGGCTTTCCCAGAGAGAGAAGAAGATGGCTTTCCCCGGGGTCAGAAGATTGTCTCAAAGTTCCTGAATAAACTGCTTGGAGAAGAGCCTGGTGTTGCGTCTTCCTTGCTGGTTGAGGCTGACGCGACATAACACGAATTCCTAAATGGTCTTTAAAAAAAAAACAAACCCGGAGCCAGAATACTGGGGTGAATGCTGAAAGATCCGAGAGACAAAGGAATAAACCACCTCTTACCTCTAGGACTCCTCAGCCTGAAAAAGCTTTCCTTAGCCGAAAGACTGTAATTCCTGTCTCCTCCTGCCTTATATACCTTTCTCCACCTACCCATATCATTTCCTGTCTCCACTTTCCTAGTGCTGGGATTAAAGGCGTGTGACTCCTAAGTATGGGGATTAAAGGTGTGTGCCATCACTGCCTGGCCTCTGTGTTTATCTAGTGGCTTGTTCTGTCCTCTGAGCTTCAGGCACATTTATTAGGGTACACAGTATATCACCACAAGACAGGGTCTCATATAGCTCAGGCTGGCCTCTCCCTTGCTATGTGGCTGAGGCTGGCCTTGATTCTCCTCCATTCGCCTCAAAAGTACTGAGCTTACAGGCTCGCCCGCATCATCACCTCCAGCTTAACTGTCCGTTATGGAAGCTCCTCCTGGTTGCTTCGTGGACAGTTAGGAAGGAGCCTGCTGTACCAGCACAGGATGTAGTGAGGGGCTGGGCCACGGCCACCGCAGGGAGGGTGGTGAGTAATGGCAGGAATGAGTCTTTGTTTGAAAGACGCGCTGATCATGTTTACTCGGACCTATCCTTTCTGCTGCATGTACCTCATAGGTTTGGCTTTGTGACCATGTATAACCCAGACTGGGCCCATTGGAGCAATGCCATCTTGGTCTACAAGGATGGATGGGTCATGTCCCCCCGATCCTCTGCTTTCCCTCAGGGTTACCATCACCATGAGAAGACTTCTAAATGGGTGTCTTCAGCAGCCACACCTGGATTTCTCTCCCTTCCCCACTTAAAACACCCTGGAAGTTGGAAATGCCTCCTTACTGGAAGATAGCGTTAATTCTTTTAAATTGATATTGTGTGCGAGCATGTATGGGTGTGTAGAGTTCACATGCACACACATGTGCTCGCAGGCACATGCATGCTGTGGTGTGCATGTGACAGGCATCTTGTTTGCGGCTGGGATCTTTTGCTGCTCACTACTTTGTGGCTCCCTGGCCTAACCTCAGGTGAGTCTCCTGTCTCTACCTCCTATCTCTTGGCTGGGGTACGCTATGATTACAGACACTTGTGCTACTGTTTCTGGCTTTTATGTGGGTCCTAGAGATTCCAAGTCAGGTCATCAAGTTTTGTATGGTAAGTACAGTGATCCATCTCCTCAGCTGAAATCCAGCATCGTTAGACCTTGGCCAGTGGCCAGCCATTGTGGAAGACAGTGATCTTTGACTTCTAGCCTAGAAAGAGGTCTCATCCCCAAATCCCTGACGCTAGCCAGATCAGTGTCAAATCATCAACAATCAGGTCCTTCACCTCTGATGAGATGAAAGACCCTGGAAAGGTCACGGGGCATGCCTAAGATCCTGCATGGCTAAGCTTCCAAAGGGACATTGAGGGAACTCCAAGAAGTTAGGTCTCAGCGTGTTCTTTCTTAAAAGAGCTTTTAACCCAGCTGTAGCAGACTCCCCCAAATCAATCTTGCTCTTCAAGAACCAGTGACATCAGACCTTGCTCAACAGCCTGGAGGAGAGCTTGTGGGGGCAGGGGATGTTGACACCACGTCAAGTTGAAGAGAGATTAAACTGGATGGAGGTCACCCTTTTCCTCTGCCAGCTGGCTGCAGAAAAAGAGTCAAACTTCCCAGGGATGGATGGAGGAGAAGCTAAGTATTTCACATCTGCTCAGATTTGAAAGACACTTGATGAACTAGTGACAAAAAAGATAAGCAAATAGGCAGAAAGTCTGTTCTCCACAGCTGTAGACGGTGAGTTTAACCCAACAAGAGGAAACCAACGACCATCAACCACCAAGGGACGGTTGAGTTCAGAACCAAGACGTTAATGACGCCGCCATGAGGAGTCAGCCGGGTTTCCCACCTGTCCTCAGGATCATGCAGGGGGCTGTGTCATTTGAGAAAACAATCTCATGAGCTCTGACTGGTGCCCAAACTTGATCCTGCCTAGAATGGGAGGACTTTCACCCACTAACCTGAATCACCAAATCTCGGGGCCTCTTTGAGGCTCAGAGTAGATCCCTTCTTCCAAGACTTAGACTCCTAGAATCAAATTCCTACCTTTGGCTTTCAGACTATTGAAATAATGGTTCCCAAGAAATTTAAATTTCCCCAGGACTCTCAGGCTGGGTAGAGGAAGAAGGCAGCTGAGGCCTGGTCTAGCCAGAGGAAGAGCTTGTCTCCCAGAGAGTTCACACACTCCTGACAACCTGTCACCTCACCTGGCAAGAGAGACTGAAGCCAAGACAATGAAGGTGGTAGGACCACACCTCAGCCAGGACTGATTAGTTATGCCATTTCTTTAAACTGAAAGCTCAGGACCCCAAAGATGGTCTTGGTGGGAGGTTCATGGGCTCTCTTTGTTCCTCTTCCCAATGTGACACATTGAAGCAATCTCTTTTTTTCTGCTTTGCATTATTTCTGGTCTATTCATGAAGATAAAGTGGAAGAGCCTGTTTCTTAGTGTTCCCAGGGTCCAGGGTTTGGTCCTATCCCAGAGTTCGCTCAAAACTGAGCCTTCTCATTTTCTTGCATATTAGTACATGACAAATAGGTTACATGCACAAGAGGACCCTATCAGATGCCCCAAATCACTGAACCAGGAGTCTTAGCTCTAAATTTCAGGTTCAGTGCTGAGCACAGGAAATATGCAGAAAGAAGCCCACTTTTAGTTAGTTTGGGTTTTTTTTATTTTGGTTTTTCAAGACAGGGTTTCTCTGTGTAAACCACTCTGGCTGTCCTGGAATTTGCTTTGTAGCCCAGGCTGGCCTCGAACTCACAGAGATCCACCTGCCTCTGCCTCCAGAGTCCTGGTATTAAAGGCTAGCATCACCGCCCAGTTCTATTTTTAGTTTTTTATTTGCTTGTTTTGAGAGTCTCCTGAAAACTAGGCTGGTCTCAGATTCTGTGCCCAGCTGAGGATGCTGGAATCCCAGGCATGTGCCACCATGCCTATATTCCTTTCCTCCCTTCAGTGCTGGGTGTCAGAGCAGGGGCTTCATGCATGCTAGGTCTGTGTTCGACCACTGCACTACACCCCCAGCCCCCTCCATCATTACCTTTTGGTCTTCAGACTGCTCTTAGTCAGCAAAGTGATGGTAAATCAATGCTCAACACTAGTTTGGGAGGGACACCCAATTTTTAGTGCTCGCCAATGAATAGGTTTTCTGTGCCTTCCCCCATAATA